CACCTGACAGTTGAGTTTTTAAATAATGGAGACGTTGGACATCATCAAGTTTTTTATTGTTGTGTACTAATGACACGAACAAATCACGGAATGACGACCACTCTGTATATTTTCCGCTAAAAGTAGGTAAAACTATTTTTGGCAATCTTACCACACTGCTGTCAGATGAACCATCGCAACCTTCCTTCCTTGAGCTGTGAACTTTTAATTGGGACAAAACATTTTTTAATTCTACCTTGTACATTAAATAACACTCATAAACCGTCTCATAGATATCTTCCTGGAAAAAGTCCTGTAATTCTTCACTTTCGCAATCACCTACGATGACTTCATATTTCGCAGAAAAATTCTTGAATTGGGTCTCTAACATCTCTAAACGTGCATCGACATAATTGTAGTTTATCCGATCTCTCGGGGACTTCTTGTAATTTATCCAGCCCTTTTCAATTTGTAATTTGATATCTTTCAGCTTTCTTAGTTCTTTCTCCATGTTGTTTGTATTCATGAAAATATTCTAAGTCCAGTGAAAGATAGATGAAAATTCTCTAAGTGTCGCTGACAGTTGACAATTGACAAATTTTCCAAGTCCAAACTATAGAGAATTTTTCTAAGTGTTTAATACTTTGTAGATCGCTTCGAAATCGGGCATAGATTCGACGTCTGGTCGTTTTTCTCGAAACTATTCTAAGTCCCTGATCGAATGCACGCGAATTTTTCTAAGTCCCTAGTTTTAATGATTTGAATGTACTCACAGTTCTTTGTCCACAATTATGCACTTCACTTCACTACTACGAAGTTCAACGATGATTCCCGATGTATGTCCTCGGCAGCTGAGCACGTAGTCTTCCACATGTGGTATTGTTAACCGACAACTATCACCATCTCGTATCAATTAGCACAACTATATTTAATTGTATGTGTTCTTCCATAAACACCCTTCGGCTCGACTGGACCATGAACAATATCGGCCGAAAGTCCTTTGGAGCCTATTACTTGAAATAATACGAAGTACCTCAGAGCAAGACAATTTATTTACGTCAAAGCAGACAACCTAATGTTTTGCCGGTAACGAAACCATAGCTTGAATTTAAATCGGCCAACGCCATCTATCGAGCTATGGGACAACACAATAAATAGTAGTATGGCGTTGGCCGAGTGCATCTTTTAAACAGATTATTTCTACACTGAACAACTGTTGATGAAGATTCGTAGCAATTGGCGTTAAATAGTCTCTGCCTACCCTCATGAGAGACAGGCGTGAGGTTTTTTTTTTTTATGGGACAAGCCCGCCACAACCTCCCAAAACCGCTGCAACTCCTGTAAGCCAGGATCTACAGTAGATACAACCATGAAAACACCGGAACACTGAAGTCCGGCGCGTCCCAGGGACATGAGTAACTGTCTTGGTTCCCGCAACGAAATGAATCAGAAGATATTACAAGAGGAGAAGAAAAAAACTATAGTTTCCACTTCCCTCGGTGAATTTCTGCAGGAGACAGAATGAATTAAGCCTAAAGGCACAAAGAAGAGACTGTACAACTGGGTGAAGCCCAGTCGCCAAGCACCACGGAAATTTGACTAAAAAACTAAGTGGGTCCTATGTGTGAGCTGTTATACTTGCTTCCAATAATAGGTATGGCAAAAACGCCTGGCTATGGCAAAAAGGCGTGAGGTTATGTATGTATATAAGAACATATTAAGGACCTATGATCCAATCCCAAAACACTTAATAAAGAGCATCCTATATTACTGTAATATTCCCTTAACAAAATACTCGACCAACGCAACTTCAACAAACTGAAATACTTTACGAAAGTGTCAAAAACTTGGTAAGACCGTAAATCGTAAGTTTGGAAACAGGACGCTGAGTTTCCGACCCATTACGAGAACCCCGATACTTAACAAAGGATGCCACGGACCTTCTGATATAACCCACCTTGTTTATAGACTTCCAATGAAATCTCCTTCAAAAACTTCACCCAAAAAATAAAATAATTATATCAATGAAAAATATTTCAGGTTCTACTCCGAAAAACATCTAAGAGAACACTTCATTCAGAAAATAAGCGCTTCTATTTCAGTCTTATTTAAGTATATTTTCGCTTGAACGAACCTTTAAGTATTCTACGTGTATTTTTTATAATCTGTTGAAATAAAATCAAAGGAAACCTTTTTAGTCAAAGCGATACTTTATTTGTATATTTATTTATTTATATAGATTGATATTTATAGAATGCTGTATACTGGCTATTACATAAAATGGAATATTTGATTTCAACCTTTTACATTTACTAATGGTCGAATAAAATATCAAAAATCTCTAATAAGTTTACTGAGAAAGGACAAGAGGATCAAGATTATGTATTTTTTTTTCCTAACCTACTTTATGCTCTTTTAATGTTTTCTACTCAATGCTACTTTATAAAAAAAGTCACTATTGTCGATATATCCGATTACAATATCATAATTCTTACTTCTTTCATTTTTTTAATAAGATTTTGACCCTATCATAGAACACAGGGCTTACTAGATGAAATATAACCTCAAAATTATAAAACCTATTTGCCAAAACTACAAATGGCCGTCCATAAATCCAAGTTAATCTCAGAGATGCATAACATTTTCCAATTTCCTTTAACTGCACTAAAATAGAGCATCTAATATCAAAAGTGGGTTCCAGTTCCAGGTACAGTTGCATTCAGCGGTGACCTGGCAACCTGCCATGAACCTCTGCCTCGGGTTGTGTACCTCTGCACGTTTGCAATTTACCTATATATTTATTATCTCTACTTTTGGATCTATGCATTTCCTAAGTATAGTATTTGATACTTCGGTTCTTTAATCTAAATCTACGTATCTTTCGTGAGACGAACCTTGAATAACTTCATTGAATAACTTTCTTGAATTCTTATAATTCATATATCGGTATACCAAAAACAATGAAATATACCTACACTTAGAAAAGAGCGTCGCGGAGAACCTAACGGGTAACCGGGGCTCCGGCTCGACGTGCAGGAGCAGGAACGGGGTGGTATTTAGTCAGTAAGAGTCTGATACTCCCTCTCGCCTCACCCAGGTGGGAGCAGTCATTCGATGATTTTCCCCCCTTAAAAAAAAAACTCTTAGAAAAAACCAAAACAGTTAATGAAGTAAAAATTAAACATACTGTCACAATTGAAAATTCTGTGTTATCTGTTAAAATAAAAAAAGAAAAATACACAAATTAATGCCTACCTTTCCATCTATTCAAAAATCCAATCCGCCAACTATTCAGAATATGGAACTAGAAAAATCCAGTAAAAACCGGTGCAAACCAGCGTTTTCATACAAAATGACGCCTCTGTTTTAAAAGTGGTCTCTTTGACTATGAACGTTTACACGGTTGAAAACTGTTTACCAAAGGTTCATCTAGATGAATGGACTCGTATTCAAAGAATGTATTTTATATTTCAAACTGTATTTTATTTGTACGTTAACAGTGAATATTTCAATCAATTGAACGTGCGCATTGAAAATGTATTGATGGCTCTTTGACTAACTTTGTATAAAGATAAATATGATTATTGAATTGGAAAATGTTGTCAATGTACGTATTTTATGTAGGAGAAAAGATAGATGACTAGTGAGTATAATATTCCAATGAACTGTGAACCTTCTTGTTTGGTTTTTGAATTTAAAGTCGGTTGAAACGACTTTCCGTTTTGACCAACCTCTCCATTTAAGGAAACCCTTGAAGAGAAGTGTCATTTAACAACATTTTGATTTTCACCAGCCTATAAGTGACACCTAACAGTACAAGTAAGGGGTTAGTTTAGATGCTATAGTTCGGTAAGTAATTAATATTACTTAACTTAATAGTTTATCGGTGGCTCTATAAAGCTGAAGAATTTGTTTGTTTGTTTCAACGCGGTAATCTCAGAAATTACTGGTCCGATTAGAAAAAAATATTTTTGTGTTGGATAGTCCATTTATCGAGGAAGGCTACGGGCTATCAAACATCACGCTACGCTCAATAGGCACCGAGCAGAGCGGGGAAATACGCGTGGAAGTAGCTAATAATGTATAAAATAAAAATGCATTGGCTGCTTTAAGTTTCGTTATGAAAAAGATGTCGCGTCGCATTGTTTCTCTCAATATTGTTATCTCATAACAACTCGCCCATAATATTTTATAGCACACGACACAAGTACACATGAGCATATTTTCTGCTGCAAACTTCTATATGTTGCTCATTTTTCACTAGAATTTTCTATTCCTAGGGGAAAAATGGAAAGTCGCTCGCATATTTCTTAAAAATGCTGTCTAAAAACGTAACTGGATAATAGAGAATGCAACACTGAACAAGTTAGTTAACTTTATTTTTAAAAGATTTTAGTTCATTAGTAATGTGTAATTAAAAGACAGTTAATAGGTGAGCCGGTGGCATTTACTTTTAAAGTAGTACGATACAACGAATGGAAAAGCTTAACGTATGACTAAAGGACTGAACGTCCAACAGTGGATGAAAACAGGCTGATAATGACGACGATGTTGGTCATGATGATGATACATTTATAGCTTTTTTTGAGAGGGAAAAATTAATCATCCAATGACTTCTCCCGCCCGGGTCAGGCGAGAAGGAGTGTCAGACTCTTACTGACTAAAAACCATACCGTTCCTTCCTACTCCTGCACTACGAGCCGGAGCCCCGGTAACCTGTTAAGTCCTCCGCGACTCCGAATCGGCATCAGCCCTATTGGGCCCCATCTGTGGTGGTTTGATGGCTCTTTGGTGCGCGCGCCGAACGCGACGCGCCGTACGCTTGGGTCTGGTACTGGTCGGGCGGCGAGTCACCCGTGCTCGCCGTCCGCAGGCCCGTACTTTTGGTGGCCAGAGATATTATACATTTATGATATTATAGATGTAGTCTAATTGAACGTGTTTACATTTTATCTATTTCCATTGTAATATTTACTATGAGATAATATTTACTATAAGATGTTAATGTTGAATTTCCTTTATTACAGAGGTCACGGTCTCCTAGTGGGTCAGCACAGAAGCAGCTGGATGAAGCTGACCTGTTCATGGACCTCATCAAAGATGTCGCCAACGAATTGGATATTGATGTGCTATGTCATAAGGTAAGAACAAAATGTATATAACAACTAACTATTAGGTATATACCTGTACCTACCTAGTGATGATGATCAAGTTTTCTTTTCTTTTGTTTTTTAAATAACAACCTATTTTGTATAAAATACCAGTCTACCACATAGGTGGACATGATCAACCTGTAAATTGTTACTTTAAAATCAGGTCATCTTTCCCATACAAACTTAATTCTTAACCTGAATAGTAAAAGAAGTTGATCAACACATTTTTAGCCAAAATAATGTATACACTTTGTGTATCTGACTATAAGGCATATTTAGCAAGAAACCCGTATTCCTGATGACTCACTAAAACCAACAAGCTTCTCTTCAAACAAGAACGTCATAGTCACTTATATTTGGCTCCTGCAAACACAAAACATATTCGTTAACTACAGGCAGCTTACAAACAATAACACGAGCCCCGCCATTGTCGATGTTTGTCAAAATTTGTAAACCTACCGAAATTACTTGACGAACTTTCAAGTATATTGAGATTCTGTTTATATTGGCACGTACAGCACATCAAGCTACCTTAAACTGTAAATAGATTTTCAATTTTATTACAGCATTACTAAGTTTAAAATTGTAAGATAGATACAGGTGATAGGTGATATTGACTGCCTAGTTGGCCGACTGGTCGCAAGTGCGACTCCGGGCAAGGGGTCTCGGATTCGATTCCTGGGTCGAGCAAAGTATTAATGGGTTTTTAAAAAAAATCTCAGTAGTAGCCTTGAATTGTGCCCGGTATATGGCAATGGGCTCACCCCCTATTACATGGGACTGGTAACATAAATAGTGAAAAGTGGCTGTTACATTGTACAGTGGTATAGTGTGCACCTCTGCCCTTCTACCTTCGGGAATGAAAGGCGTGATGTTATGTAATATATAGGTAAGCTTCATGAGATTTGTATACATATACTAGCTGTGTTCCAAGTAGGTATCTATAGATTTCTGAACAAAGAAATAGCTAAAAACATAGGGCTCTGCTTAAAAGGATTTTGCGCTTATGTCGAGGATAAAAGGTACAAATGATGATCTACCTCTGAGAATAATAATACTTTTGCTGAAAGGGTGTCTATACTATAGTACCATGGCTACTCATTAGGTTTCTTCAATAAAGTTTATTCTGAGACTAGAAAAGTAAACGATTTTGGTAACTTCCAAAAACATACTGATTATTAAATAGCATCATTCTTCCACCAATAATTTTGAGGCAACGTCACTGAGTTAGAGTATTTACACGTATATTAAGAGAGATGTTAGAGGCAATTAAAATTCAATGTTACAAATATGCTTATTGCACACTAAATCTCACGTTAGAAAAAGTTAGCTATTAAGTTTTGTTTCGTCTATAAACATAGATATTAACTATGGTAAACAGATGAGAAAGATAATTGAGGATGACAAGGCTTTTGTAGAGTCCTATGATCAAGGGATTCTGCAAGGGTCATCAACTCTTTCGTTCGGAGCATTTCCTCATCTCTTTGAGAGACGAACTTCCTAAAATTACTCCTAGTACCATCTTATCATTGCACCCTCATTTAAAAAGATCAAATGACTCCAACCATTACCTTTTACGCCCCATAATATCCGCTCATACAAAACCAGCAATTAATTCGAGTTCAGTACTAACGTATTAAAAAGTTTAATGGCATATAACAGAGGCAGAAGGGTGGGCAGCACTGGTGTTAATTCTAACTTCGGTTTACGATCTCCCCCTACTAATTCAAGTACTAGAAAAATTTATGGAAGACCGTTTGTTCATACACATTGACTTACGACGTTCTTTTGGAGGAGTCACAAGTATTTTGGCCATTCAAATTAGTAGGACATCGTTAAAAAATTACAAGAACTACATAACTATGCTTATTATCTAGACAAAGTCTCGTTTAATAATTGAAATTGTCTCAGCTCAGCCATTTTGAATTCGTTTCTGAGAAGTTCCACAATTAGAGTTTTCCTATTATATTAATAGAATTCGAGGATGCTAACAACAGCGAACAAAGGAACAAGAAAGAACAATTTTAAATATACAAAATTGTTAGCTTCTTTCAGAGTCGAATATTTTATTACATACATAACTTCTGCCACAACTTCTTGACTTGATAAAGAACTTCTTTTAGTTACTACGCTATTCTCGAGAACTCGTTTCTCGCCTTAGTAATTGGACAAGTTTGGATTTTTTTTACATGAATTATTTAAAATATACATTTCAAAAATTCATGAAGAAGTACAAAAATATGAACACACCTAGGATAGATGTCACAAAACGACCATGGAAAATCTGTATAAACTATAGAGATATATAGAAGAACTATCAACTTTCTGCCATTCAAGAACTCGTTATATAAGTTGTCTGTTGTGTTAAATCGGAGAAAGAACTGCACTTAAAGCAATTTACCGGAAAACAACAAATAAATCATCACGCAAACATATCCACCAGAGGGAGCTAGTGGCACAAATAAAGGAACACCCCCTAACTTTATCGTGCGCTATAAAAACGCAGTTTAAATTACAAAAACATCCACCCTGTTTGTTCAGTCTCACAGTCTCGCAGTCTCACTGTTTTATAGAGCACGACGGGAACGTTTCAAATTGACTTATTATGTTTTACGTTTTGTCTTCAACATGATGAAATTTTCTTCGCCTTTGTTCTACAATTTTCTAGAAATTATTTTATGTTATTACAAAATGGCGTCTCTTACAAAATGGCTGCTGTGAGGGCTTGTGAGAGGTTCAGATGAAATGTTGTCCTATTTGTGTGTTGTAGGAATTATGGGTATATTAATGGAATTAAATTATTTTTTTTTATGTAGAGCATTGACCACGTGGTCGTCATCGTGATGTCAAGTTTACTCAAGAAAAGCCTTTGGTTTTCTGATTCCAAAGTGTGTAATAATTAAGAAATTGCATTAAAACTTAAAATAGGAAATAACAGGTGGTGGTGTACTAAAATATTCTACCAACGTTATTTAAGGATTTTATTTTAAGGAACACAAAACAGAGATGAAGTAATAAAATAACAACTATTAAAAGTTCTCACCCATATCGAACTAGAAAATCCACAATTGATAGTATCATAATTCACTTCACACATAACAACGCTCATTTCCTCAACCACTTCACGAAAATAATAAAACAAAAATGGCCGCGCGTCACAAGCAACCCTCAGGGACCAGAGCCAGTGTAGCAATGATAATATTACTCTGTCCCGTTTATAGGGTACATTGTACCCTGGGGAGTCAATTCAGCTAAATCGGTTAGATCAGGGTCTTCTATTGGACCCTTTCCTTACGTTTTTGTTTAGCTTATTAAACAAATACGGGTCAAACGAGTGCTGGTTTGAAGAGGGTTGCGAATACATTTGTGTGTTCCTTGCCTATTGGAGAAATTCGATCTTGGTTGTTTATTTATTTATTTATTTAATAATTTATGTACACACAGACAGCACAGAGGATAACACATATATAAAATAAGAGTACAAAGGTGCTACTTATTCCTGTTGGAATTTCTTCCAGTAGACCTGAGACAGGAAATCTAATTAAAACAAAAGACACAGTGTGTAACAGAAATATAAGAAATATGTTTAAAAAAGACTAAAGCTAAATAATAACTAAATAAATATAGGTAGTATAAATAAATATAATAAATACTTAATATATAATAATAACAATAAATAAAATACACACATAGAAATAAAAAAAAAAAGTATCAGTACTCATGTAGAAAGGTAATGGTCCTTAATTAGTTTTTTAAAGAGAGCGATAGATTTAGCGTCTCGAATGTTAGGCGGCAGAGAATTCCACAGTCTCACAGCATAAACGGTGAAGGAATAGGAGAAGAAGTCGGTATTATGAGGCACAATTTTAAGATTGGACTTAAGATGAGAACGGGTAAGGACTTCAGGAGGACGGACCAAGGAGAAACGGTCACGGAGGTACGCAGGATAAGTTGGATTGAAGAGGGTATTATAGAGGAGGCATAAAATGCGAGTGTTCCTGCGAAGACGGATAGGGAGCCACTTGAGCCTATTGCGAAATTCGGAGACATGATCATATTTCTTAAGACCGAATACAAAGCGGATACATTGATTTTGCAATCGCTCAAGTTTATTTAATAGCTCCTCAGTGGCATCCAGGTAGCAAGCATCTGCATAGTCCAACAGAGGCATGATCAGCGCTTGGACGAGGCAAATCTTTGTTTTCACAGGCAGCAGGGTCTGGAGGCGCCTCAGTGAATGGATGGAGTAATGTACCCTTCGACTGACTTCATTTACCTGAGCATTCCACGATAAATTCGAGTCAATGAGTACACCTAAGTTTTTAGCGCGATCGGTAAATGGAATCGCTGTACCATTCAAACGCAATGGACCGAGGCCAGAGACGTCGAGATTGTTACGATAATATCTACTACCGATGATCATGGCCTGAGACTTCAGAGGGTTGATTTGCAAGCCAAAAGATCTGGCCCACTCAGCAACACCATCCAAGTCACGATTCATGGCATCGATAGCAGAATGAGCTTCAGACATGCCGAAGTGACGGTAGAGCTGCAAATCGTCCGCATAGAGATGAAAATTAGAAGAAATGACCCTGGCAACGGTATTTATAAAGATGGAGAAAAGCAGAGGAGAAAGGACGCCACCCTGGGGAACACCAGCCGCAAGGTCGCACCAATCGGATAAGGTTTCCTCTAAGCGGACCCGCTGACGGCGACCCCGAAGATAAGATTCAAACCAAGCTAGAGAAGAAACAGAAAAATTATTGGCCTTTAGGACCCCCAACAGTATGTCAAAATCCACAGAGTTGAAGGCAGAACTGAAGTCCAAGAGCACAAGAATAGTAAGAGACTTGTTGTCCATGGCCCAGCGTATGTCATCGGTTACTTTGAGCAGAGCCGTGACAGTGCTATGGCCAGGGCGAAATCCAGATTGATAAGAAGAGATTAGGTTGCTAGATGTTAAGTAAGAAGTTAACTGCCTGTGAACA